CTTTCTTAAAAATGTCTTAAAAATGTTTCAACAATAGGCTTTCACAATAGTTCTTGAAAAGTTCTATAGTTCTCGGTCTCGTTCTAAGTGTTGCTTTGGGTACCAGCGGTGAGTAGCGGAGAACCTTTGCTCGCCAATCTACGCGTTTGTGTTCACTTTTAGTTCGGCTACGACGGGATTCGCATTGTCGACGGAGACGATGATCACAAAGTCATACTTCCAGACTCGCCGCCACAATGTAGCGCCATGCTTTTGGTATCGCCTAAAACCAGCTCGCCAAATTTAGCCCCCCCATTTTCACTTTCGACATTTTTCTTTTTACCAATCGATTGGTGGTCATTTGGTGGTATTTGGTAGTCTATTCAAAACGTTTAGTGGTTTTCAGTTTACTTTCAAAATCCATAACAAATTTTTAGCATTAAGTTAGCCCCCCCACTTTGATTTTGACATTTTTATTTTTACCAATCGATTAGTGGTCGTTTGGTGGTATTTGGTAGTCCATTCAGAACATTTGGTGGTTTTTCGTTTACTTTTAAAATTCATAACAAATTTTTAGCATTAACATAGCCCTCCTCCCACTTCGAATTTTCACATTTTTCTTTTTACCAATCGATTGGTGGTCGTTTGGTGGTATTTGGTAGTCTATTCAAAACGTTTAGTGGTTTTCAGTTTACTTTCAAAATCCATAACAAATTTTTAGCATTAAGTTAGCCCCCCCACTTTGATTTTGACATTTTTATTTTTACCAATCGATTAGTGGTCGTTTGGTGGTATTTGGTAGTCCATTCAGAACATTTGGTGGTTTTTCGTTTACTTTTAAAATTCATAACAAATTTTTAGCATTAACATAGCCCTCCTCCCACTTCGAATTTTCACATTTTTCTTTTTACCAATCGATTGGTGGTCATTTGGTGGTATTTGGTAGTCTATTCAAAACGTTTAGTGGTTTTCAGTTTACTTTCAAAATCCATAACAAATTTTTAGCATTAAGTTAGCCCCCCCACTTTGATTTTGACATTTTTATTTTTACCAATCGATTAGTGGTCGTTTGGTGGTATTTGGTAGTCCATTCAGAACATTTGGTGGTTTTTCGTTTACTTTTAAAATTCATAACAAATTTTTAGCATTAACATAGCCCTCCTCCCACTTCGAATTTTCACATTTTTCTTTTTACCAATCGATTGGTGGTCGTTTGGTGGTATTTGGTCAGTGTTAACTAATCGGTTTAAGACCGTCGTCTAAACATAGCGTTAGTTTCCACCGTGCAGAGTTTATAGAGTTACCCAATCACGTATAAGGGTTGAATGGAATTGACCAATAGGGCTGCTTGACTCTGTTTAAACTTTTCACGGTGGAAACTAAGCCAATAATTCTGATTAGCTTCTAGTACAGAGACGTACGACAAACGTCTACGAACCAACGAACCATGTTCTGTTGTAGACGAAGCCTTATGCCCATTTTCTTCAGCGCGGTTCATTGTATAAACTGCGTTTATCTTTAAAATACAAGTGTCTGCTGATTGGCTAACACCACAGTTAAACCGATTAGCGCATTGAACCGCGTCGAAGAAAACGGCCATTATTCTTTCTTTTCTGGCGTTCCTCAAATGTGTCTACAATCAATATAGTATCTGTTAAAAGAAGTATATATTTTCAATCCTTAACGTCTGAAAATTAATCGTACGTACATTTTAGCTTAGCTGCGCGTAGAATTCTGGTGTATGATGTTTATATAACTTGATAAGGTACACTGATCAAGTGTAGTTTAAATTTGAACCTTAGTGCAGTTTTCGATAATAGATATCTAGTCCGGAAATACTGTGATTCGTAATCTCGAGTGATATGTCATGAATAAACGTACACCACTATATGTTCCTATTACTATATACAGGGTGTTCCGAATTTACCTGACCAACCTGAGTTTTCTTCCCTCGTTTTTGTTTCTCGGTTGCTATGGGCAGACTGAAGCCAGGCGAAGTAGGGCTATTAGATGTTATGCACTAATTGAAAACTACAATATCATATGACAATATAGGAAATCTTAAGATTTGTCGCAGTAAGTAGATCCGAAATCTGTCATTTACAAGTACTACGAGATAGCTTTTAAGTTCCTTCCTTCCTTTCCTTATGGCTGCCTCCTCCAATGAGGAGATGTGTCAGAGCTTTCAAGGTACGTTCCGAATTTCACTATCAGTATTGCGAACATGTAGTATCTCATTCTATTGCATATAGGTAAATAGGGACCACGACGATACTTGTAGTACTGACAGTGAATTTTGGAACATATCCTCAGTATTTTCAAATATCATGGTATCTTTCTTTACCTGCATTGAATAGGATAAGATTTAACCTGATATGTATGTACATACAACTATGCATAAAATGAATGCAGAATTATGTATGGCATAAAAAGTTATTTATTGAATAAAGATACAATCTGTTACTACAGTCACACTTCTAGTAACATTTACATTAAAATCATTAGCAGATGCAATGATGATACTACATTTTTCCTTAGTCTTGCCTTCGCAGTTCGAGGTATATAGACTTTCAAGGAAAAATGTTATTTACACAAATGATCATTTTTATTTAAAAGTTATGAATCAATATGCCTCAGCATGAGGTTGCACATTGCTTCTACCCAGACTTTCGATAGCTCCAAGTCTTTTGAGAAGCAATGAGATCCCACTTGTAGGCACACTGATGTACAACCAGGAACAACACATCTAAAAGAGGAAATGTCTTTCTTCAAAGGAGACATTATGAAGGTCTAAGATATGAAAATAGAAGAGAAATTAGAGAAAAGAAAACAGACTAGACAAATAAGAATAGAAAAGTAAGAAAGTATGAAATAAGGTTAGCCTGGAAAGATGAGTGGCGTAGCCTTCGTCTTGTTGTCATAATTTTTGTAAATCGTCGTCCACAAAAGTTCCACCAAGTAAATAATCTGGATGTTGAACACAAACACACTCAAAGAAAAACCTCTGCACTGTAATTGCACTGAACACACTTCAAAATTCACCGGCGTAAATTTGTAGATGCGAAGCCGTCGCCGAATTGGAAGACAGTGACGCATAGAGACTTGTTTACACAATAAACTTATTTTTTCCAAGATGGCGACTGCGCATGCTAACGTTACCGCTGCGCCATCTTATGGGTAGGTCGTATAAGTTCTCTATGCTTTACTATAGCCCATTTGGAGTGTCCCCCCCTGGCTCGTACTGTCGTACGTGAAGTTAGCATTCTAACATTTACTTTTTGAACTTTTCTGTTGCCAATTAATTGTTGGTTTTATGGTGGATTTTGCTGGACTAATTGAAAAATTTGGTTGTTGTCCATTTTTTTGGAAAATAGACAATAAAATTTAGATTGTGAAGTTAGCTCGAAAAGTCTTATTTTTCACAAAAATAACTTATTTTTGTATGCAATCGACGGCAAATTTTCTGTTATATCATGAATTACCTAATTAAAAAATTTGTTGGTAAGCGATTTCGTTGGAAGAAAAAGAAAACCATTCATGAACGAGGGCGGCCATGTTGCATGGCTGTGAACTGGACTCCATGCATCTAATGAATATTTTTCAATTAAAATCATCCGCAGAAGTCGGAAAGGACTTAATTTATTTCGATGATTTCGAAAGCTTCATATGGATATTAAGGGTATTCCTTCCTTCCTTTCCTTATGGCTGACTCCTCCAATGAGAAGATGTGCCAGTATTAAGGGTATTAACATCGGCACAATTGACTACTTCATTCACTTCATTACTATGGTTTATGTAATATGCAGTAAAAAAAAAGGTGGATACAAGTCTCCCTATTTGAGTGTTCATCCGGTTTAAAATCGTGGATCTCGAGGGAACACATAAATTCATTCGACTAATCAAAAACGTGGAACTAGTTCGAGAGTCTTGTTCAGGTGGCGCGTCGCAGAGGTCCAGGTTATCACGCATAGTATTATTATATATACTCGACCAATCAAAAACGTGGAACTAGTTCGAGAGTCTTGTTCAGGTGGCGCGTCGCAGAGGTCCAGGTTATCACGCATAGTATTATTATATATACTCGACCAATCAAAAACGTGGAACTAGTTCGAGAGTCTTGTTCAGGTGGCGCGTCGCAGAGGTCCAGGTTATCACGCATAGTATTATTATATATACTCGACCAATCAAAAACGTGGAACTGCTTCGAGGGCCCTCCACTAAGGTGGCACGCCGAAACCAGAGTAAAATTGAGACCATCAAAAACAGGCCCATTGGCTATCTCCCTACTCATCTCTGCTTTATGCACTTCGTTCTATGTAATTCATTGTCAGTGTTCTTGGTAATTCAATAATAACCAATGGTATATTTTACTATCAATTGAGTAAGTTTATATTGCTTCTTAAACGCAATGGCTACGATGGGTGAACCTCTTACCTTAGCAAGGGGTAAAATAATTATTTCATTAAGTTATAAATCAATCTATAGACGTACTCTGATATTTTCATTTTATAAATTTTTCTTAGATGTCAAGAGGTCCATTGAACTACTTGACAAATTGCAAAAGAGTAAGTTTACTTAAGTTTTTATTACAAACGATGATCATGTATAATTTCTTGAATTGTTTACTGTTAAATTAAACTTTTATTAATCTCTCAGGCGGTGAAGTGCCTGCTACTAAATTGGCTGCTCTGCAGAAAGTACTGCAGAGTGATTTTCTCAATGCAGTCAGAGAAGTTTATGAACATGTTTATGAGACTGTTGATATCCAGGTAATATTAAATGAATCTTTATCATGTGTGGTATGCATTCGACTTCCTAATGACTGTCTTTATAGGGCTCACAGGATGTTAGAGCATCAGCAACAGCCAAAGCCACAGTGGCAGCCTTTGCAGCAAGCGAAGGACATGCTCATCCAAGGGTGGTAGAGTTGCCAAAAACTGAAGAGGGACTTGGATTCAATGTTATGGGTGGCAAAGAACAAAATTCTCCTATTTACATCTCAAGAATTATACCTGGTGGAGTTGCAGATAGGCATGGTGGTCTGAAAAGAGGCGATCAGTTACTTTCTGTGAATGGGGTGGTCTGTATTACTTGTAAACAAATGATATATCATGTATTTATATAAAACTAATGCATATTATTTCAGTGCGTGGAGGGCGAGAATCATGAGAAAGCAGTAGAGCTACTGAAACAAGCTCAAAGTTCTGTGAAATTAGTAGTACGCTATACTCCTCGTGTACTTGAAGAAATGGAATTGCGATTTGACAAACAAAGGGCTGCACGTAGGCGTCAACATATGCAGTAAATTCATCTTGACTTGTTTATTGAAATATATTTAAAACCATTTTATTGTTTAAAGTATTCATCTATCAAATTATTAGACAGTTCTTTACCAATTCAATTAAGCGTTTGTAGTTCGTAAGTCTTTGGACATTCTATTGTAATATGTATATTTATTAACGTGTATCAATAAATAAATTCATGTTCATCAAGCTTTTAATATACTTTCCCAGAAAGAATTCTACAGTATGTAAAGTATGTCTTGAGTATCCAAGATATAGATGGCAGTAAATGCACAATCGTTCGCTGAAGATCACCTTTATGAATGTTCCTTTTTCTTTCAGCATCAGTAACGTATGCCGTGTGACAACGTGGTATTGCTGCTTGGTTAGATTGTGCAGAACAAATGTACGGCTGGGCTTTACCAGCTCAACGTTTTCATTTTTCATATTATAAAATCATTAAATTTTTGCCAATTTATTAGTGAATTACAGTTCATCTGAGATATAATGGTTGACTCAAAAAACGACACAGCTGGTAGTGATGGAGCACCACCAAAAACTGCCAAGCAGTTAGAGAAAGAAGCCAAAAAACTTGCGAAACTTGAGAAATTTAAACAGAAGCAGGATAAAAAGGATTCCGCTTCTACGAATAAACCGAAGGAAAAGCTAGAGGTGAAGAACATTATTTTCTTTCATTTACAATTCAATGTCATATTTGATCCATATGATTTGCAACATTATCATTATTATAATAACATTATAATAAGTTTAATATATAGATTGTTTGTTGTGTCTACGAACTCTTTCAAGTACTTACATTTGAGTACCATTTATTTTTATGTCAATATTCAGAACTTTTATCTAGCATCCTCATTTTCTGTACTTAATAGCCATTCTATTGTATAATTATTTTGTCATGATCTACTTTCTACTTCCCCCAGATGTTCTGTTTAACCATTATATCATATACTAATAAAATTATTTTGATAATTATTCCAGAAACTGGAAAAGAAGAAAGAAGTCAAAGAATCTCCGTTGTACACAATCAATACACCAGTAGGGGAGAAGAAAAATGTATCCTGTCCTATGCCTGATGCATATAGTCCAAAATATGTGGAGGCTGCCTGGTATTCTTGGTGGGAGAAACAGGGTTTCTTTAAACCTGAATATGGGGTACAATTAGTATATTTAGCATTCTTTCGAATTTAATGTTTTGTGTTATTGAACCACTGAATTTTTATTTAAGAGAAAAACTATTTCGGAGCCAAATCCAAAGGGTAAATTTGTCATGGTTATTCCACCACCTAATGTAACAGGTGTACTTCATTTGGGACATGCTTTAACTAATGCCGTTGAGGATGCTATTACGAGATGGTAAATTTCATTGCAATTAATCAAACAAAGCAAGTTACAGACTGATACTAGGTATGTAATAATTTATTAGGAATCGCATGAAGGGGCGCACTACTCTCTGGAACCCTGGCTGTGATCATGCGGGCATAGCCACTCAAGTTGTGGTTGAAAAGAAACTTTGGCGTGATGAAAAGAAAACCAGACATGATTTGGGACGTGAGAAATTTATAGAAAAAGTTTGGGATTGGAAAAGAGAGTTAGTATTTATTTATTAAACTGTTATCTTAATGTATTTTATTGAGTCTCAAGTCAATTTATTCTATTTCTTCAGAAAGGGTGATCGAATTTATACCCAATTGAAGAAGCTAGGTGGCTCCTTTGATTGGGACAGAGCTTGTTTCACTATGGATCCAAAGCTCTGTCGTGCAGTCACTGAAGCTTTTGTACGTTTACACGACAGTGGCGATATATACCGTAGTAACCGTTTAGTAAACTGGTCCTGCACCCTCAAAAGTGCAATTTCAGATATTGAGGTAAACGCAGTCAACCATTATTTTAATAAAATTTGTATACTTGTTCTGTTTACTTCATATGTTTCAGGTTGACAAAGTTGAACTACCTGGTAAAACATTGCTCTCCATTCCTGGATATCAAGAAAAGGTTGAATTTGGTATTTTGATATCATTCGCATACGAGGTGGAGGATTCCGACGAGAGGCTCGTTGTGGCTACTACAAGAATAGAGACAATGCTCGGAGATACTGCTATAGCGGTACATCCTAAGGATTCACGTTACACTCATCTTATTGGAAAATTCGTAAGACATCCTTTCTGCAGCAGGAGGATTCCAATAATCGCTGATGAGTTCGTAGAGATGGATTTTGGTACAGGTGCAGTGAAAATAACTCCAGCTCATGATCCTAATGATTATGAAGTTGGAAAGAGACACGATTTGCCTTTTATCACGATATTTGATGAGGATGGTAATATAATTGGTGATTATGGAAAGTTTACTGGGATGAAGAGGTTCCATGCTAGGAAGGCCATTCTCGAAGAATTGACTGCTAAGAACCTTTATATAAAGACGAAAGATAATCCCATGGTTGTCCCTATGTGTAGTCGATCGAAGGACGTGGTTGAACCTCTTATAAAGTCACAGTGGTACATAAAGAGTGATGAAATGGCTGCCAATGCCATAAAAGTTGTAAAGAACAACGAATTGAAGATTATTCCAGATCAGCACAAGAAAACCTGGTTTCATTGGATGGAAGGAATTAGGGATTGGTGTGTTTCTCGACAACTTTGGTGGGGCCACAGAATTCCGGCATATTTTATCACTGTTTCTGATCCATCAGTACCTCCTGGAATGGTATGTTAGTCACTTTGAAACTCAGTATGGAAGCTCCGTACTATATGGGAGTTTGACGGTTTATAAATTCTATCATTTAGGAAATTGATAATAATTATTGGGTCAGTGGAAGGTCTGAACAAGAAGCTAAAGAAAAAGCTGCTGCTAGATTCGAAGTTAGCTTGGATAAGATTTCTCTTCAACAAGATCCAGACGTATTGGACACTTGGTTTTCTTCTGGACTGTTCCCTTTCTCCATATTCGGTTGGCCAGAGGAGGTAAGTGTGTTTACAAATCAATCTCCTGTTTTTATATTCGAAGCTAATTCTGACTTGTGATAATAATTTTACCAGACTGAAGAACTCCAAGCTTTTTATCCTGGCACTCTACTTGAAACTGGCCACGATATCCTCTTCTTTTGGGTTGCACGGATGGTTTTTCTTGGTCAAAAATTACTTGGAAGGTTACCATTTAAGTGAGTATCTGGAAATTGTAGTTCATACCGATTCTATATTAACTTCCAAGAATAATATTATTATTCTTCTCAGGGAAGTTTATCTACATGCAATGGTGCGAGACGCGCACGGTAGAAAAATGAGTAAGTCCCTGGGAAACGTTATCGACCCAATGGACGTTATAAACGGAATATCCTTAGAAGTAATGAAATTCAAATTTTTAAATCCTCGTGTCTACAATTTTATCAATAGGTTAAAAAAGTTAAACTATTCTCGCAGGATTTGCACAAACAACTCCAAGAATCTAATCTAGACCCAAAGGAACTAAGTCACGCAATTAAAGGACAGAAACAAGATTATCCTCAGGGTATCCCAGAGTGTGGTACGGATGCACTTCGATTCGCTCTGTGCGCATACACTAGTCAAGGTCGAGACATAAATCTGGATATTCTTCGCGTTCAGGGCTACAGATTTTTCTGTAACAAGCTTTGGAATGCAACAAAGTTTGCTTTGATGTACCTAGGGGATGGTTTCTCTTATGACAGCGAAAACGAGCAGGTAAGATATCTCACTGTCATTCCTTTGGCGAGCATCTTCGAGGTTTGACAGTTGAGTTATTCTCACGATAGAGTGACAGTGATGAAAAAGCCGTAGAAGTCGTGGGATCAGATAACTGGTATCTGAGCACCCTGAATGAGAATTGCGTCCAGGATGCCCTTGACAGCTATTTAGCAGAGTATCCATATATTGATGGTTATACGGTATCGCAAGCTGACCTTAAAGTCTACAGTGCAATCAGTGCACTGCGTATTGACTTTAATCATCGGCCCCATCTGCGACGCTGGCTGTACCATATTAAGAGCTTTAACGTTCATGAGAAGTCAGTTTTTCGCTCTGAGCACGGACAGATATTGTCACAGTGCACATTTAAACTAACTAGTAGTCATGATGCTGGATTTCAGGTGGGATTTACAGCCCTATTGCATAGCCTTTTTTTTGTAGTCTATCCCCCTAGCCTATAAAATAGTAACGTACATTGTTCATGTCTGCTGGACTGCTATCTGTTAGTTTAATAATTATTCCCAATATTTTATTATTTGCATAGAAGAGAATAACAATTTCATCAGTTAGACAGTAATGGAATTATAATTATAGCTTACTGGAAGCGAATCCAATGTCGATCTCTGGATGCTGTCCAGGTTGAGTTATGCTGTACAAGTATGTGATGATGGGATGGCTCAGTATGATTTCAATGCAGCTACAACAGCTTGCTATAATCTATGGCTTTATGATCTCTGCGACGTATACTTGGTTCGTAGGCATTGGCTATGCCATGAATATTACGTTTTTCGTTTTGAAATATTTCACTAAATTACTGTATTCTGTAGGAACATCTGAAACCTGTATTCCAAACTGGAAGCGAGGACAGCAAACAAGCAGCTCGTAGAGTCTTGTTCAAGACTCTGGATGTTGGTCTCAGATTACTGAGTCCATTCATGCCATTTATCACTGAAGAACTTTACCAACGTTTACCACGTACCAAGCTAGTGTATCCCAGCATTTGTGTTAGTCCCTATCCAGAGGTGACAGAGGTAACTGTAGCTGATTTTTTTTTACATCGAACAAGATCTGATGGACTTTGACTAAAGAGTAATGACTATTCATCTTATACAGTGTCCCTGGAGAAATATGGAAATAGAAGCAGACATGGAATTTATCCAGAAACTAACGAAGAGTGTCAGATCAGCAAGAGCTACGTACAATTTACCGAACAAAACAAAAACCGAAGCCTTTTTGACCTGCAGCGATCCTAGCCTTGAACAAAGGCTCATCAAGTTTCTGGATATCATTGGAACACTGGGATACTCTATTGTCCAATTTGGCAATCCACCTCCAGGTTGCGTTATCCTGACAATATCTGATAAAGTTTTGGTGCATCTTTTGCTCAAGGTATATTAAAAAAAAAAAAATTTAGTAGAGCTTAGAAAGGGAAGAAGCAGAAACTATTGAGATACTTTATTATATGTTCAGGGGTTGGTGGATCCAGAGAAGGAGTTGGAAAAATTGGAAAAGAAGAACGAATATCTGGTAGGCACAATAAATAAATTAAAGCAAGCGATGGTAGCCTCTGATTACAGTATTAAAGTACCTGCCGATGTACAAGCAAGTAATCAAGAGAAACTTGTAAATAGCGAAGGAGAACTAGAAAGGCTTTGCGAAGCAATGGAGGCTCTACGTACGATGCAATAATTATAATTGAAAAATTCCTTTAGGTATCAAGAATTTATGTAAAACACACTTCACATATTTATTAATAATAATATCATTTTGAATATATCATACGGTTTCGAATGATTGTTATTGTTAATCACCTACAAAGGAAGGATGCTTGGTTGATTGTGTGATAGACACATATACGATTCATCTCTGGTAAATTTATTTAATTAATTCATTTATTTCATTATTAAATTACTTGTGCTATTTGAGCAGTTACTATACAAAAGACCACGGTTTTACGGATACATTAGGCGAAATTAGGATCTCTTTCTTTTTTTTTTACTATGCTTTTAGTTGGAAATTATGATTAATCGTTATCTTTAGCACTATACAACTGAGTATTTTTCCTGCCAGCAGTATTAAAAGATGTAATGATTATCTGTGATGTCTTCTGTTTACCGTCTTTCCAAGCGTAAATAAAAAAATTGAATGTAAGACGACAAAGAGAGAAAGGGATAGAAGAATGAAAAAAGTAATACAGTTAATGAAGAAATTTCTTAGCTGTTGTTTTTGAAGCAAAAATCGCCAATGTATCGGACTCGCGTTCTCTTCAATTAAACAATAACAAGAATTTAAACAAACGAACAGAAGCCGCAACGTTTCCATATCAAAGGTGGCAATATGCGCTCAAGTGCTATATGGAATGAGAATAATAATTTGTCTTTTGTTGCTGTTAATTGTTTGTCACTTATTCCTTGTCCCTGAATTATTTACAAGAGGACAAAATTGATCTTAAACGAACGAACAAAGAGGAAAAAAGACAGGAAAACAATATAAATCACATTCCCTGACTTCTTCCTGCTATCTTCTTCTGAAGTTTAAAGATACGCGAGCTCATGACAATGCCACTGAGCTGTGCGTTCGATAAATTCTCAATATTTATATATATAAATAATAACAAATATATAATTCTTGTATATACAATTAGTGCTTCGATATGCAAAACGTAGCCGCTTTATTAAGGCAGGACTCTTCATTTTCCCATTGTTTCACCGATTCTCGAGATTTATCTTATTTATCATCCATAATTTATCATTCTACTCGAACTTGGTCCAATTATGTTGCGACTTGACGGCGGTAGGATTGGGCGACGAGCCAAATGCACTAGCAATACTGTTACCGGCATCCTGACTAGGGATATCCTGATGATAGCTCGGCTTCCTGCTGGTGGATGCTGAGGATAAGGGGGGGGTAGCCGTCGCACCATTTTGCAAAGTGAATTTCCCAAAATCCAAGCCGTATTCTTGAAGCAGATCAAAATCCCCGAGTTTCTCTGCCAAAGAGGATGATGTGTTCATTTGATTATCCATTTCCCCACTGGATTTCTGTTTCTGTTGCTGAGGCAGAAAGTAAGGATAGAGCGGATTGCTTAGACCCTCGCCCATCTGTGGTAGTTGGAGCGATTGATGAGTTGTTTGCTGATGTTCCTGCTTTCCACTGTTATACCTGAATGATTTTGCCAACAGCGGATCAAAATCATCGTCGCTATTCGTAGAGTCTAATCTAATTAGATCCTGCATCTCCGAGGATGACTCCTGGAAATACGTATAACGTGGATCCTTTTTGAAGATGAGACTTTTGTAAGCAATTATAGCTCCTAGTGGCATTCAATTTACTTATGCTCATGTTACACACTGTGTTATTGATGCTGGGATGCTTCTAACTCTAAACAGTGCGACACTCAAATAAGCTAAACATATATTAGTAATGCTACATTGAAATAGACTGTAATTTTACAGATCCAGGTACAATTCATTTTACAGGCGTACATACAGGGATGATACTAATTTTCGTTTACTTTCAGTACTCATTGATAAGAGCTTGACACTGTTATGCTGTATGATAACACAGTGTACTTGAATTACTAGAATGCACTATTAAGTGATAAATGGGGAATCAAAAAAGACAGAATGGGAGATATAGAGAAACGAAGAAAAAAAATAATGATTGCATGTACGAATAAATAATGAATGAGAATGTTTACCTTAGCATGTGCAGAGTAGTGGCGAGTATTTTTTAAGGGAAGGAGTGGTTGAGTTGCTAGAGGCAGCTTTGGGTTTATGGAATGAAATAGAGGACTCTGAGGATGGATAGAATTCAAAATTTTACTCGTGTCAAAGGGATCACCGACATTATCCTCGACATCCTCTTCCTGAGGATTTAGACATCTGTCCAGTAAACTACTACCGCTCCAGCTGCTAGAGGTAAGAAGATTCCTTTCTACAATAGGAGGAGCTCCTTCTACAGGTTCATAGCGAATATTGTCAGATTCCACCCTGAGACTACTAATGGATTTCTCTGAGGTATTGAAGTATATTTGAGTACCAAATGGATTTGTGGGATTAACAAACTCATGAGAACTGGTGGGTCCCACATTTTTAACTTCCTCAAAATTGATTAATGGTTTCTTTAAGGAAGAATTTCCTGGGAATATTGTACTAGCATCGGGTATTACGTTCTTTTTATGCGTAAGATCCTCAGAAATGTCTAATAAATTTTCAGTTGGAGTACTGATCAACCTAGCTGATTTTTCATTGCCTGCTGGCAAACCTGTACTGCTCGAAGAAGAGTCTAATGTCGAACATAATGAGGTATGGGATATTTCTGAAGGATTTGCGGTATTGGTTGTATGTAGAGGACCGTGCCGCAAGCGCCCACTCCATGCAGACCTCAAGCTGTCTAAACTGCGCACTGGTTTCAACTGAAAGTTTTATGCACATCACGCTGTCACTTGGTCTAGTATATGCAAATGGTGCATTTTCAGTTAAATATTACCATTGTTACTCATACTAATTTCTTACTTATATCATGTGTCAAAAGGTCTCCTTACTACAACTTCTATAGTAATCAGTTTTTTTTTAAATTGGACATTTCCTTTGAAAAGGATTAACTATGACATGACATGCATAGCTTAGGGCTTAGTGCTTCCTAACATTGTCCAATGGAATTTCTTACTTGCTGCATGCCCTACCTTTATTTTGATTTGTCAATGAAAGTAAAAAGTAAATGTTTTTGAGCTTCTCAAATGATCATTCTCATAATACATATACCCCTAATCAAACCATTCAATAAAAGCTGATGCGATATTACGGTGCACTTAGATGAAACACTTTGGGTAATAGACATTAAAGCGTACACACAACAAGGACGATAATTTATAGGCGAATTCTTATTTGTTTTCTTCCCAAAGAATTTTGTTAACTCTTCCCAAAGCGAGTGATATTGTTTACACATTGATGGAGAATCATGAGCCTAATAGATTCTCAGAGATACGTTCAGTGAATGTTTTTTGGATGAATTTCTTATGATACTTACCGTTCTATCCACTGGAGGTGTGTTTGGAAATATGACATCACGTAGTTCATGCATTAGGTCAATATCTAGACGTTCTGGAGGTGAATCCGTATCTTCTGGTGAACTTGGACTTAATGGTGAATATTGTTTTCTACTGTAAAGTAGAAAAGTATTTATTATTTCTACTTTGTTGGTTTGCAAAACTGATATTCGGGTGCAAATTTTATTTGGGACATTTTAGAGTATTATCTGCTATAATATGGAAAAAACTTAGGACGTTACCTGGTTTCTGGTACTGCACTATTCCTTAGTCTAAGTTCCTTGCGATAACTTGTAGCAGCTGTAAAACCAGTAGGCGGTTTAGATGGCGAACTAAACGTAGCTGGTCGTCTATCTAACGTGGGTGAACTCGGTGCTGATCTCGGTTGTTGATATCGCATATTGTTCTCATTTCTGCTTGAGCGTCCTTATAAAGAAGGATGAATAAAAGGAAGAAAAGTTTGAATATTAACCGTATAAAACAGTTTTATAGTGCGTATATTATTACGTTAAAAATACAAATCTCAAAATACCTTTCCATTTAATTCCCTTGTAAACCGAACGCATATCCTTGCCTTTATCTTTTACCTGTAATTTTAATATATAGTGACATAAATCAATGATGAAGTATCTATTAAGAGGGAACCGTAGTCCATTTTTCATATGTTAAGAATCAAATGGACAAAGCTTTAAAACGGAAAATTTCCCTACCGTAAACTCTTATAATAGAAGTACTGTCACTTAACTGATCAGCTTCATTCAAAGCATTCCGATAAAATCTCGGTCCTTGCGTAGCCCAATTTTTCGATTAATCTTCAGAAAATATGTAAAACGCTGTCAAATATAGCCACTGAAAAGTAGGTGAAGATGATTGCGGTCGAAACATTACTGTTCTTCTCTAGACACTTTAGATATTGTTTCCACGAAGTTGATAAATAAACACAAAAAAAGGGCGACATAAGGACCGAAAAGTATGTACAAGGAAAATCCTTGTATCGCTCCAAACTATGAACACGCAGTCAATCTGAAGATTGTACGCTACTACGAAATCTAGGTGTTAAATAACAAATTTTCCTCGTCCAAAAACAGCGCTAATTGTAACACGCGACGGCACTAGTCCCAATGTGCGCGGGCCACTGTTAGTGTTTATGCACATCAATTGAAAATTTCCACATTAATCCACATGTCTGAAGGCATGAAACCAATCAAGGATCAAGAAGAAAAATCCACATGTCATTACGTTCATTTAACCTTAATTTCGAGTCTCTAGTCTTGAAAGCAGATTTTAAGTCCTGTACCGAAAAGTGTAAAGGAAATGTTTTTACTTCCACGTATTAGACCGTTGAACACCACTACGGAGCGAAATCTTACAAGCGTGCAAAAATGCGTGAGTTCCACAACTCGCCATAACGCGGGGCAACAATTGTCACGTCGCAGATCAGCAAGCATTACGGTTCCCTCTTAATCCTCCAAGGAAAGCTATAAAGCTTACCGACTTCACTGCAGATTTGACTGCTGGATTTGCCTGCAACGACAAAATATAAAGCGCTGTATGTATGTTTTACAAATAAGAAGCTTATACAGGGGAATGGCCATCAATTCCAGGAGGTGGAGAGTAATTGCATAATATTTTGATCTGGATGCTAATTAAGAATCTTACCTTATCCTTGACGCTGCGAAAAAATGCAGAACCCTCCTTCTTCATCGTGTATGTCCATTCGCGATATTGTTGCCTAAATTTACTGCCAGACTTGTCGGAATAATTACAAGCTTCCATTTCAAACTCGTCTGAGAAACCAAGGCCGGAATTAAGCATGTGTAGTCTCTCTTCTATAAACTGGAAGATCATATTTTATTTTATTATTGTGAAAAAGTGTGATATAAATTGTTTCATGTTCCTATTGATAAATACATTCTACGACTTATTTACCTGCTGGAAGATCTGTAGCTCCAACATCTTTCTCAAAAATGGCTGCATCGATGATGGTCTGTTTTCAACAAAGGCATCCTGATCGAATGTTATCCTCTCGCCCTGCTGAAGAGTAAGAGCTTCTCTGTAACCAGCTGTTAGTTGTACCAAGGCTCTTAGAAAAGCTCTTGACACTCCGTCGCCCAGTAAACTTGGTCTGTTCCGTAAAGCTCTTCTTAAATTCGTTACCTACAATAAAAATTGAAAACTTCTCAACGTCGTTGGTAAAGTATACATTAGGAGTCATTTATCAGCCCAACAGTTCCATAGGTATTTATAAGATCATAAGATGTTATGGGTTCTATAAGCATCGCACAGATGTTGTAGAAAAGTTCTTGGAACTTTTGTGGTACATATATGTGTAGCTCAAATAGTACAAACCACATCCTGGGGTAAAGATTCTAAATCTTGAAATGGTGACTCGATGCTGTTATTATCAGCATCCAGAATAACGACTTCTCCTAAATCGGTTTTACGCACCCGCTGAAAGTCGAATTTTTATATGAATAATAGAGTTCATAGAGCAATTACTTCAAGGTGTCAATATATGCATAATTTATATTCAATCGGTTTCTATTTACGTACCATCTTAATTTCCTATTGTTAAAGCATGAGCAAGAAATAGAGGATTGAGAGGATGCGATTCGATTTTGCTAATGACAATACCTGAAGAATCGGAGCGGGTACTCCGATGAGAAATGGCATTGGGGCCAAGAGATAATCCATAAGAGCCAAGGGTAGTACTGGTATATAAATATGTTGCCAAATCATTGGGTATATCAAAGCGTTACAAGCTTGTACGCATGCGCTCAATCTCGAGAGTTTCTTCGAGGTGAAAATAATGCGTCTTTCATAAAGCATCGAAGAGAATATCATCATCATGTTGTGAGAATCAACAGCACTGTAATATTCTGTTAGATTTCTCTGTAAATAAGGTCAAAGATGAATTTAAAAAAATGCTTATACTCTTCTTATGACATTTCTGGCTTACGTTTTCCGGTATACTAGGTAATTGAAACTGCTTTGGACTTTGGCAGACGAATACCTAAAATAAGAATTTACATTATGTCCTTAAGTTTTTCATGTACAGTTTCCCGTAATAATAGTACACGACATACAATATTTGGATCTGGAGATGGAATTGCTATGGAAGCACCAGGAAGCGGGACTCCGCTCTTGTAAACGTCACCAAGGAATTTCCATAGGTCGCCGTCGCCACCAATTGTTGTTAAAGTTGCTATGTGATTCAGTAGCCTGCATTAATTAGGATCAATTATCATCTTGTTCATCCATTTAACTATGCAAGAATGATCAAGTCTTAATGTAGAACAATGCTAACTTGTAGAAGGTCTCGTGCCATGGTAAAGCACTCAGAACTACCAGAGCTGTTTCAGTTTTAGGATCATGTCTGCAGAATCCAAATGTCCATTTAGAATCTATACTCGTCAAGACAAACGAGAAATGTTGCACTACAATACTATGATAAAAGAAAAAATTAGAACAAGTTTGGATAATTAGTATAATTATATTGAATAATCCTTATGTATACTGACTTTTCAAATTCACAAGGGTATGCAAATTTTGGAACAGATTTGAGTATCTCATGATCAGAGAAGGCCTCTGGAAATTTCTGAAGTAACCAAGCTTCTCGATCACCCACAGGAGCAGCCACTTCGCAGAAACATTCGAATAGCTGCTTCACATTCTCCCTGTAATGAAAACGAATTTCTTAATGACATGTCAATGAAACCTCTTGATAATATGTAACCAGAATGGAACAAAGTTTCATTCAAGGCCTTTAATTATCCTTGATGCACAGGCAATGTAATAACTAAATCATATTCACGTGACTCTTCTACCTATACTGACAACAGCCAGTGAATGCGGATTTGTAATAAAAATAAGGATGGTTCTTGTTGGCATAAAACTTGCCTCAATCTGGAGCCCATTATAAATGATTAGAAGAAAAATAAATGTTGCCGACAATGATTTTGTGCCTCTATCATTTTACTACTTGACGGCAATGCGTCTCTAATTGTTTCATGTAAATATTTTATAATTATCACACACGGTCCATCTGATCATTCTTTGACACTTCATCCGTAGACATTTCTCTGACTAATCGCACTTTTGTGTTGAAGTAGGGTTTACGACAGCGTGTTCCTAAATCACTGGCCGGTTCGCCCAACATGGAAACACTTGTACATCTAGAGGCGTATTTCATTCTAGAGCTTCTAGTTGGCTAAAGGCAAGTTTCTAATGAATTTCTAGTTGTTCAAAGATACTGAAGGATACCTTCCAGGGACATCATCTTCAGGGTTTAGATCTCTAGTTCATTAAAAAAATTAATCTGCTTTAAAATTTAACACTCTTTGATTTTAAGGTAAATAGCAAGGCAAATTTGTCCATTGTTTAGGTATTAAAACAAACTATACAATTTTATCCCTTAAAGTAGTTTATCCTGATATACGGTTCTATATTTCTTCATTCCAATTTAAGATATAAATCTTCTACGCAATCAAGTCAATAATGAAGAATCAGCGATACTTTATGTATTTGAATACCGATGTTAGAGAGCTTTTGAAAAGCATAAGGAATAAAAAAAAGTAAAGATGAAGTATCTAAGCAAAACAAATTATGCAAAATATTCTACGTAATCAATACATAAAGAGCATTTTGAACGTAAATGCCAAAACAGTGAGTTTAAGAGAAATGACCGGCGATACATTTCTCTGTTTAGTGTACCTAGTCTAGTCGAAGATATGCTGTGAGTGGGACAAATGAGATTATTAGCGGGAACACTATTTCACTGTTCGGCCGAAGCTTTACAGTAAAACCAAGTAAAAGTGTGCAGAACTGGATTTTATTTATCTACAGCTCTGTTTAGTACAATTTATTGTATTGCTATCATTTGACAGTCTGCCGTATTGTGTTGCGTGATGTCACCGACTCATATGTGGCGATATCGCTGAAAAACAATATTATCGAATTCTAATTCTGGTAGTGAGGTCCCTTTAAACGATGGAAGTGTTTTTAAGCTGTAAATGCTTTCTGAACTGGACCCTTTTGTGTGTTATTGCTGCTCATCAAGTTTCCACAGCTGCTATTGAACCTAAGGATACATACCAGAGTCTCACTGATTCTCAGGGTTTTTATAATAAAGATGATCATGTTTTTGTACTTAACGCGGCAAATTTCAAGTCCAATATTTATGGAAGCAAGAGTTCCTGGTTAGTGGAATTCTATAACAGTTGGTGTGGATTCTGTCGTCGATTTGCCCCAACATGGAAGGAGCTTGCACAAGATATTCTAGGTACGATATGGTGTTAGCTGTCAATTGTATCATAGAATTTTTGAAAGGTTATAGCAAATTTTATGGGTTTTAGGTTTAGACAATACCTTTAACTTTGCATACTGTTTTTTTAGCATGGAAAGACATTGTGGTTGTGGCAGCTATAGATTGTGCTGACGATGACAATAATCCTATCTGTAGAGAGTATGAAGTGATGCATTATCCTATGTTAAAATTTTTCTCTGTGAATGCAAGACTGGGATCATTTGGAATTGAGATTGACAAAGGCAAAGATATGGAAAAGCTTAGGCAAAATGTAATAGATCAATTGGAAAAAGAGCAGCAAGAAGGACGTGGTCTTACCTGGCCAAATATTACTCCTTACAGGTAAAGTAAAAGATGTATTAACTTATTGCATATATACATTGCTTTGTATTTACATTATTTTTTATGCAATCAAGGGGTATGGAAACTTCACAACTATGGAAATCTGTACGACAGAGTGTACAATACAGCTTTCTTATATTTGAGACTGCAGATTCTTTCCTTGGTACGGAAGTTATATTGGACATGCATCGTGTGAATAAGATACATATTCGCAGTGTAACATCAGACAATGAACCTCTGTGCATACTGCATAAAATTATAAAATTTCCAACCCTGCTTGTCCTAAGTCGAAATAATACTAGTAAAATAATCAATGTTAGGACACCAACTAGAGAGGGTTTCAGACATGCCATTAAAGAATATATGCTCTCTCAAGGCATAAGTATAGAACTGCAAAAGACTCCTGAGAGGTCCATGGAATCACCAGGTCTTCAAACTTTGGATGTTCATAAGAAACTAGATGAAGTGGACATAAAACATCCAATAAAAGTATACGGTGACGTGCTTTTCCAGCTCGATCTGGAAACAGTCCTCAGGTACTCTTTAAACCATGAAATAACATTGACAAAGCTAATCGAGGGTGAGAAAATGCAAGCTCTTAAAAGTTACGTGAACGTCCTAGCCAAGTACTTTCCGCTGCGGCGTAGTGGGGTTGTCTTTTTAGACGTGATTCGCGATATTCTAGTTGAGAAAGAAAGTCTTTTAGGTAAAGAGTTCATTCAGATAATACGTTCAACAGAAGAGGAGATGTTTCCGGTGTATTCAGGTCCTCAGGAATGGATAGCATGCAAAGGAAGTACGAATAATTACAGGGGTTATCCTTGTGGGTTGTGGATAATGTTTCACATGCTGAGTGTCAATTCAGCGATACAGAATAAGGGCAACGCACAACATGACCCGACGGAAGTGCTTCGAGCTATGCATGGATACATAAAGAATTTCTTTGGATGTGCAGATTGCTCAGAGCACTTCCAGGAGATGGCAGCGAGAAATAAGATATTCGACGTGAAAACCGCCAACGAAAGTATCCTCTGGTTATGGAAATCACATAACGAAGTGAATAACAGATTGGCTGGGGATGAAACCGAAGATCCATATCATAAAAAAATTCAATATCCATCTCAGGAATACTGTAGCTCTTGTAGACATGCTAATGGTTCTTGGAATGAGAATGAAGTTCTGAGTTATCTCAACAAGAAGTACAGCTATTCAGGTATTAACTACTATGGATCGGATGGCAAATCAGATGAACTTCCCAAAGAAAAAATAGAAATACGTCAAGAACGTTTGGCTCAAGAAAAATATGTGCCGCAGCGTAAACTTGGTTGGGATTTCACTATATTTGATATAAGTATCTGTGTAGTTCTATATGTTGTATCGGCTGCCATCCTGGTTTTGGTATGCATAAAGTTTGCTGTTAAAAGGACATACAGGAAGAAAGTTTATGTGTATAATCATCTGGGAAAAGTGTAATTTTATGGTTAATTTAATTACATGACATGAGGAATACCAGGACAGTAAGTGGTTGATAGTGTGAACATGGTTGTTTGATAAGAACTATAAATATTAATACTGTATATAAAGAAAAGGATTTTAACATACTATATATCTGTTAAGTGTATGCTAAGTTGAATCAATAATTCACTGTATGTATATTTGATTTACTGACAGATTTAATTGATCGATTTACATCTAGGCTGCTTTATACTTTCACAATATGTAAGACCTCTGATAGAGAACTTTGCTTTGATGCGTAACAATTACATATGCAAATTCACTAGCAAGTTTAATTATATTTGATGTTATTAAAATTCAGGATTATTCTGTCAAAATTGGCTTGCAGAGATCTTGAGGTATAGCATGTAGTTGAATGGAGTGAGACGTAAATGAATAATAAGACTACAAAGACTATTGTTATAAATTATTCCTATTCCGTGTAATATTCATTTCTTGGGATAGATTCGATAATTGTAATAAAATATAACGGATTGTGTTATTATATATACATATATTTATACCAAGATCCTGGTCGTTATCATGAAAACGTAACCAGCATTCTATTCTGTCCAATTTTTTTGTGGGAAAATTTAATAGAGAAACCATACTATGTCTCAATGTACCCAGGGTTCACAAGATGTATCTATGGAAACGGATCACGAGTTTTATTAGGCAGCAAGAGACAGAACGGAAACAAGTACTTTCAGGATAATACAACGATAGTACTACAAAAATGTCGGGATCATACGAAAGAGTGATAGTGCGTCATAAAATATGGCCAAAGACAATTGGAGATTTTTTGTCTATGACATTTATATTAATAATAGTGCCATTGATATATTGGTTTGAACTCTGGATTGTGTTGCCAACCCTATACATTTTCGGTAGCCCTTTTTACCTGGGACACTTTGTTTTAGGCAATTTCATGATGCTTAATATCGTTGGAAACTTTACATACACTGTTCTCTGTGATACTAGTACTCGGCGAACAATTGTACCAATGAAAACAGATATTAAAAGTGGATGGAGACTGTGTGCTTTATGCGAAACAATGTCACCTCCTCGCTCTTGGCATTGCACCACGTGCGATATTTGTATTCTCAAACGAGACCATCACTGTATATTCACTGGATGCTGCGTGGGACACTTCAATCATCGATACTTCCTCATGTTTGTCTTTTACCTCTTTGCTGCGACAGTCTATGCATTTTATTTTAACAATGTGTTTATCTGGAGCAGGATCAACTTTGAATTTCCCATGTCCATTATTAAGATTGTATTTCCATTGGCCATATTTATCTTTGGCTTTGATGGTTCTTTAGAACAGTTCTATTTGCTGCTTTACATTGTTTCTACAGTGGGTATGCTTTTTACTGGAGTACTTTGTGTATATCACTTTCACCTGGTGTTCATTGGTGCTGTTGCCAATGAGAGGAGTAAAAAAAATTACTCGTATAACTTGGGGTGGAAACAAAACATTAAAGAGGTGTTTGGGGACAGGTGGTACCTTGCATTGTTTGTACCTTATGTGAATTCCAAATTGCCACATGATGGTATCACATGGGACACACCAGAAAGTTCGAAAGAAAATTATGAGAAGAATAGATGATTGGCACATTATTTATGTCAAAGACTGCTTAATGTTTAAAAATATGGATTACAAAATTTCTGTTTTGAATGAAATACTTTTTGTGAGATAAATTGCATTTATTAATAAGATATATGTAAAAAATTTATGAATAAATATGAATAGGTAGAGTGTGATGCAAAGTAGATCACATTTCATAAATTCTATATCCTTATATGAAATGGAGTATTTGTTTAAATAAACTAATTAAGAATTTTTTTTAAAGAGTATATATCCCGCCGTGAAATTAGTTAAACAGCTACATCACCGTTTCCCGCTTGGGACAAATATACTTTATTCAGTGCCTGAAGTTCTTTGAAGTAATTGGGCTGGCCTGTATGCCATTCATGTCAAACTGTTTCTTAACGAGTCCTTTTCTACAACGTATTGCTAATATAAATGGCTTCTCCAGCGCCAAAATCACCTGAACAATCTGAAAAAAACAGAAAATACGACCGCCAGCTAAGGTATTCTGTTGATTTTATCATAACTAAAGAGGTTATGCAGCCGGCTATTATTTACTTAATTATTTTCCGAATATTGCATCTTTTAATTTCTTTTAGATTATGGGGTGATCACGGCCAAGCATCTTTAGAAGGTGCACATGTGTGTTTAATAAATGCTACTGGTTTGGGTACTGAAATACTGAAATCTTTAGTTCTGCCTGGTATTGGAGCTTTCACAATAGTTGATGGTAAAAAGATCACAGACGAAGATATTGGAGCAAAGTAGGTGAAAATGGTTTGATCATAATTATCATAGAAGAATATTATGCTTTTGCCCCATAATTACTAAATATATTTGCTCAAGCTTTTTCTTAGATAGTGAAAGCATCAGTAAGTCCAGAGCACAGGTAGCCACTCAAATGTTATTAGAATTAAATCCTGATGTTAGAGGTGATTATGTGGATGAAGGACCAGAACAGATTCTATCTAATAGTCCAGACTTTTTCAATAATTTTGCAGTCGTTGTCGCAACAGCCTTGCCAGAAAAGTATGTTTGTAAGAGGAATTTATACTATATGAGCCAAAACAATTTGATCTACTACATCTTAAATATTTAATTTCAGAGCAATAATTTTACTATCAAAAAAATTATGGGAATTAGATATTCCCCTAATAATATGTCGGAGCTTAGGCTTCGTGGCTCATATTCGTGTTCAAGTAAGAGAGCACACAGTGATAGAAACACATCCTGATAATGAGAATCCTGATCTACGTCTGGATAAGCCATTCGAATCTTTGAAAAAGCACATGGACTCTATTAACCTTGAAGAAATGGACCTTAAGGACCACTCTCATCTGCCATACTCAATAATTTTATACAAATATCTGGACAAGTGGGTAACGGAACATGGTGATCTACCTAAGAATTACAAAGAGAAGCAGGAGCTTCGCGAGTCTATAAGATCAGGAATCAGAATAGACGAACATGGAATTCCCATTGACGAGGAAAATTTTGAGGAAGCGATGAGGGCAGTAAACACCTGCGTTTCGAGAACAACAGTCCCATCGGGAGTCATGGAAGTTTTAAATGACGATCGCTGCATCAATTTGACAGCTAAGAGCAGTTCCTTCTGGATAATCGCCAAAGCAATAAGGGATTTTATGGAGAATGAGGGTCTTGGTCTGCTACCTTTGAAAGGCGCTGTACCAGATATGACTGCAGATACAGAAAAATACATAGCCCTACAACAGATTTATCACAAACAAGCGGTAGCCGATGCTGAAGCTGTTTGGCGTCGCACTCTTCAATTATTAAGACAATTAGGTAGATCATCGGATTCCATATCTGAGAAAGACGTAAAATTATTTTGCAGATATGCGGGGGACATACACGTAGAACGTGGAAGTTGCATAGCGGATGAATATGATTCAAAAACGACAAACGCTAATGAAATAGGTAATTTTTACGTTAGTATAAAGTTTATGAATTTCATTCTAATTAATGTTGTTCGAATTTTAGCACAAAGCTTGGAAAATCCGGAAAGCATGATGGTATATTACGTTGTGTTAAGGGGTGTCGAAAAGTTCCAGGCTGAATATAATTCCTATCCCGGTGAATTTGACGACCATGTTGAGCCTGATATAGTAAAATTAAAGGTGTGTAAATTCAGGCATTTGCAATGTTCATTTTAATCCAATTTGTGAATCCTTTGCTATTCAGTCTACTTTTGTTACTTTTTCAGAGTTGCATATCGAAATTATTAGGGGAATGGGGATGCGGTCCTTTGGCGAAGGACGATTACGTTCATGAATTCTGTCGTTATGGAGGATCAGAATTACATTCTGTCTCTGCATTTTTAGGAGGACTTGCTGCTCAAGAAACTATCAAATTCATTACAAATCAATACAAACCCATCCACAATACGTTTATCTACGATGCTGTCACATCGAACTCTGCTACATTTGCATTCTAATCAATCACAAATTATTTGATAAATTCAGGACTGTCTTTATTAAATGAATTATAATGAAATATAATCCTGTTGTTTATCAATTCTGTTTTTTATCTTACGGACCAATTTAATTATTATTAGTATTGGTGAGGTACGTATTTTATCGTATTTCTTAAGCTAAATTGGATTGATTGTTGATTTGACGTAATTGAAAAGTTCATTTGCATCACCAAAATGTGTCGAAGGGAATTGACATGGTGAATACCTTGTAGAGTAAGTGAGTTTCTTAATCGCCTGGATTTTTTAAGCAACTATCGACGACCTCGCCCTCGTCCACGTCCTCCGCGACCGCCTCGAGCGCCACGACCTCCGCGACCTCTTCCTCTTGCAGCACCTAAAATTTAATAGAAAAAAATTCTTTCATTAATTATAGAACATTTCATTGTAAATCCTTTTAAAGCTGTAGCATTTCTACTGACCACGCGCGGCTTCCTTCTTTTTGGCTTTAGCTTTTGGTGTGTCATCGATAAGCAATGTTTCTAATGGCAGTGGTTCAGGTAAAATGTAGTATCGAATATTATTTCCTCTCAAACTTAAGGTATCCAATTGTACTGGATCCCTATTCTTTATTGTCATTTTGACGGTCTTTAGATGTGTGTTCATTGCTACATCAACACCTAGAATAAGAAATACATTTTAATTTTTGACATTATGGAAAGCTATTGCATCGACAGTGTATCAGTTAATATTAACAAACCTGTAATTGTTCCTTGTACTTGGGTACCATTTTTCAGCTCTATCGTCACTGTCTCATGACTGAGCTTCATCAGGAATCTAAAATAAATGATCAGATCTCTCAAAAAATGTTGATACATAAACGAAAGCATTGTAATTATATAGGTTAGACAGTGTGCTTCAAAAGGTATTTTCATGACTACTTTGGCGCGGATATATATTTTTTCATAGAGAATTTGATCATTTGATCATCTTCAAAATTCATGTATTTTACATACCTTACTAGCTTCATATTGTCGGTAATGTAATGAATTAAACCACAGTAAACCGGCAAAATATCATAACTTTGTCGTTTCACTTTCGAGCGCGTTGCGCGATTCGGGTAGTATCGGTCATAGTCGGAACACTTCGGCTATTCACAGATTGGCGTCTCGACGTGATCGCTATAAAAACTTCTACAGCACCGTCCAAATCTAAAATATAACTTATTTTCCCCTCATATTAAACTTTATTTTATTACTATATGCACATATCTTTTAATTAGTGATGCGTATAAAAATGATCAAAATTCCAATACAGTAAACAGTAATACAACAACAATAATTGTTAGTGAATTTCTATGGAATGAAATCATTTTATTAGTACGTTAATGTGATGAGTTATAATGGTTATTAAAGAATATTCTAATTCATAGTTCACCCTTTTTTTATGTAATATTATTAGAAGCTTAGATAACGGATGACCAACGTTAATTAATTTAATGCTCGTTAACAGTTTGATAAGTTGTTGCACTTTTGTAATGACGAGTCTGCCTGGCTCGCGAGAGCGCCTTTTCCCAAGGGAGACGGACAGAGGCATTTTTTAATTCAGGCAATTAAATTTGTTCTAATTAAGCGAATAATTACTTTACCCAGAAATATAATGACGATTTGTGGATCTCAGGTGAGGAAAATTAAAAATAATAACGGTAACTCCATTCCTACGTCCATGACCATAATACAGGTTCTTTCTTCTGAGCCAATAGTTATCTAGAAACGCGATATTTTGAAATAGTGCATTAGATGAAAGAAATAGTTTATTTTGATATATCGTAAGGTAAAAAATCGGATTGTTAATGAAAATGTTTAAAACAAAGGAAACCCATGTTCAGAAATATTTAACAAAGAAAGATAATAAAAAGAAAAATATACGGTTGAATTTAAAGTTGTAAAGGCAGGTTACGATGGCGCCATCGGTGAGAAAGCGACGAAGCTTCCGCAGGATAGTAGCGACAGAGAGCGAGATATTCCAATATGGCGACCGTTGTGATGTCTGCACGAGTCAGTGTGTCGGAAATGTATTGAAACCCGGTTCTAAATCGCGGCGACCGCTCGACGTTTCGCAGATAGGTTGGTAGGAGAAGTCAGGTCCATAATTACGGGATAATCGAGTAGAATACGACGGAGCTCGAGGTACTACGGAGTATTGAAGAAAACTTGAGAGAATAAGTGTCGGCAGATCATAGCGGTGCACTCCTCTTTCCTTTCTAGTTGACCATAAGCTTCTCTAAAGGATTCACAGCGAATATTAACATAGTATGCCCGTGTTTAATCACTAGTACTTGTCACAGTTGATTCAATGCATCCCAAGAGACCTCGAACTCTGTCTATCCTCCAAACTACCCTGTTCGACAGATGAAATAATCGTGGCCCTTCTTATGTATCGCGTATGGGATTAAGATTTCCGTATTTGCATGCGTGGTGTGTTTTATTGTTGGGATGCATGGCTCTTAATTTATTAACGGAGCAAATCGTGAGAATGTCTCTCGTGAGTGCTTGAGCATCAAGAGAGAAGATGCGTGCGTATCAAGTCCTGAGGATCCACATAGGGAAGGCCACAGCATCGTCTGGACCAATTGTCAATCATCCTAGAGAACTTCGTGTCATGAAGAATGAAGTTGTCACTGTCGTAGGAAATCGTCAGACTTATGCGGTGAGTTATTTGTGATAAAATATCAGTAAAAGTATTCTGTGATTTACCATTATGACAACAGAGATACGATTAAATTACACGTTCTGTCATTATAACACATTACTGACAGTAGGTCCTATCGTTTATGAATACCTTTGACAGTTGAACTGTCACTAGAATTAATGAATAAACATTTCTTTGATTTGCAGTGACTGATTTACTTATTAAAACAAATGCTGCTTCGAAAATATGTTTCACGTAGAATGTCGAAAAGGCATCACATCATTGGTAAACACCACTACCTTTCCGTGTTCCCGAAGCTCCATTTGGTTGGTGACGAAAATGCTTCTGTTATCTGGACATTATATATACGTATATAATAATGCATCAAGGTGCTATCTAGCTGGTGGTATATCAATCAAGATGATATCGAAAAAGAATCACAGGAGAATAACTATACTCCCCGCTATTCGGTATAAAATTGTCACGTACTCTTGGTTTACTTGAGTGTGCGTGTTATTCTATTGTTTTTATCAGGGTGCTGCAATACCTTCTCCCACTCTCTCACTGCGGAATGTCTCACACGTGTGTATCCTCACATACACGTAACACAGGCTGCGGATAGGAGAGTCGGATCCACTTTCTCTCTCTTTCTCTCTCAGACCATTTTATCTCAACTCTGTTTCCTCGTCCGTTTCTTTTATCAGTTATAAACCGCTCTGTTATATGCTCACGGTGTGTAACTGCGTCGTCGAACTGATAAGAAACAGTTTGACGTCATTAGAAAGATGTCTTCTTAGGTTGAGCGTCGTATTAAAAAAAACAGCGGTATACATATATGCTGATGTATCTGTTATTTTTTTCCTATATGAAACCGATACTTGTTTACTGTTAATAATGATAAGAGCGATATATCGTATACGTGTCTGCGTAATTATCACAATTAGTAGCAATGCAGGATACTTTGAATCTACTGTACTAATAAGCTCTTCACACTGTGCAAACTGGACAAGATATAACAGATGGGACATGAGAGTTCAGTGATATGAGAATAGTTTGGATATTTTTGGATGAAAAACATCCGTAAACCGGGAGTTTTCGCCTGTATACATTTTTGCCAATCCCGTTACACATATCCACGTGGAGATGACTCCATGTCAAAATCTACTTTCTCCCAGTAGACTCTCACATGTGCATTCGCACGTGCTCATTTGCTTATCTCTAGAGAATTCAATGAATCTCGTTTTCCAGGTATCCATTGGCTCCTTTATACTTGGATTGTATTCCTGGAACTACATTACACTCATACGCACCTCTATCCACACGTGGTCATGCTCCTCTGTTATTGGAATTCAATGAATTCCTTTCTCTAGGTACCTTATTCGATCCTTTTACGCTCATTCATCTTTGTCATCTTTCACCAGCATGGAATTAAATGTCCCTTATCAGCTGACTACGAGATATTGCCCTGATACCGATATCCGATGAAGTCTTCAATCGAGTTCCATTGTACAGTCAGGATAAATTATCGAGGAAAATTAATCGACGGATGATCATAGCGGTTGTGCGAGGATACGTGAATCAGAAGAGGAGAAAATAAACGTGGTTCCCACGTCCGGAAGACCATGGGACGGAAGCGTCAATAAAATCGGTTCGAGAGCTTAGTTTATTTTCTATGAGCGCGCCGAGTGCCTCGAGTTCGGAGAGGAACGGCGCAGGGACTTTTGCCGCTGTAGCGAAAATAAACAAGCATCGTCAAACAATGCGATTTCTTATAAGTAGTGCGAGCGAGGTGTGTTTTTCGAGGACGTGCGAATAGAGCTATATGTATATATTCGGTCCCACGTGTGTACGACGTTACAGTGGACTCAGTCAAGCTATGAGTAATACCGATTAACGATCCAGGAAACATGATTACTTTACATACAAAACAGTCGTCCGTAATGGAGCTCTGTGCGATTTATTTATTATATTAAATCGACTATTTGACGTATAGGTATACGTCACATAGGAAGTTATGAGCGTCGTGTGTTTCCCACGAGCGAAGGAATTCTCAATGTAATTACTGGTATTTTTTTAACGCTTGTTTCCAACGCTCTCACACAGGACGCTAATAATGACAGTCGATCCTAATAATAGTCGGAGCTGTTTACTGTTTTTCTAATGCCGATATGCCACCGTATTGCGCCACGTGTGATATGGACAGTTATGGTACCGATGCCGCGTTGTATACCGAATGTAAATTTATAGATAGTGTCAGATACAATGTTAGTAGTTTCCTCTTTATCGTCGACGTCATTAATCGCTGCCACGATGACGTCATTCCCGATAGGACACCGGGGCCGACCCTGGCCGCGATTCGTCGCGACGCCAGGCGTCGCTTCTCAGCGAGTCCGCGAGTCTCTCTTCGTCGTTCCTCTCCTCACCGCTGGTCATCCTCTTTTCTGTCTCTCGTTTGCTCTCTTCCATCGCAATTGTCAAATTACACTAACAGCCGGGCCGACATTTATTCAGTTTTCTTCCCAATGACAATTATTTCACTTGATAAATTTAGACTGGCGTACTCGCCACTTGGAAACCAGACTTCAAATCGTTCCTCGGATTCTTTAACGTTCATCGCTTATTCGAGGGAATATCTCGATCCTTTTTAATGTTACGGACTTTTAATATTTTATTCACAGTACAGTGTATATATTATTTATGATAATCAGCAGGTTTTGTTTGATTTTTAGTATATACATAAGGTTTGCGTATATATATTGTGTGCCTCATGAAACTTTATGATCTTTTCTTTTTTTTTTCTTCTCTCATTTTTTCTCCCTTTTTTCTAAACTCATTAAACCTATTGCGGGCGCAGGTTGGCTCTTTTTTTTTTCATGTCTCCCTGTCTCCCCGTCTCCCTTTCTCTCGTTTTCTCTTTCCCTCCATAGCTTCAGCTCTTTCATACACGTACTCGCTATCTCAAAGGGAACTCCGCGAAACCGTAAAACACGTGGTTGTTTAATCAGCTAAGTAAAATTAAAAATAACGCCTTTGCCCGCTGTGTATTCGATCGTCAACACGCTAGAGAGCCTACGTTCATTTGCGTATGTTGGGTAGTTAGGGGACCCATATGCCGCTGTCGCGATACACCTGTATACATATGTATGTCGCGAATTCTTATCCGACTGTCGTTCATTGGCTCGAACTCTATGTATCTACAGATAAATGGCTGCTTCAGCGAACGTTGGAGTTACGAGTTGGTGGTTAATGCTGGTTGAGAAATAAAATATGTTTTATATATATATATATATTTTTTTAAATCGGCTATAGGTTTTACCAGGATCAATAATTGGTAATCCATCGACGTGATTTTTCCTCATTTTTATTTCTTATCTCTTTTCAGAGTTTATTTCCATTTGAATTCTCGCGCCTCACTCTCATCAGGAAAATCCAGGGTTTTCCCGAGTAACGTTCCTCTACCGTCGTCTGCATTGGCGTCGCGACGAGAGGAGAGTCGGAGGAGAAAAAAAGCAA